AAATCTTGGAACCAACCCAAATGCCCATCAACCAAGGAATGGATAAAGAAGATGTGGGGTTTTTTATATATATATACAATGGAGTAAAACTCTGCCATAAAGACGGATACATTTCAGGCATTTCTAGGTAAATGGATGCAACTTGAGAACATGCACTTGTAAAGTAAATCATGTTCATATGTATAAACATTGCACTGCCTCCCTGGGGTGAGAAACTGAAAGAGGAAATAAGGACCAAAACATACACTAAGCATTGTAAAATGGGAATAAATTGTTCTAAAGGAAAGAAGAACTAGGGGGAAAGGAATGAAGGAAAAAAGGAAAAAATTATTTTAAGAGGATAAAAGGGAAACAAAGCTTTTCAAATAGGGAGGGGAAGAGGCATTGAAGGGAGGAGAAGGGATGAGGAAAAAAAAGAGGAATCAAAATATATCATGTACGAGTACAAATTCCCTATGCTGAATATGATCATCAGGTATATCTAAAATATACCAACAGACCAAATAAAAAAATAAACCACCTATGGTCTGTAACCTTATACCGGATACTCATGCCCTGGCTCTACTGAATCACAGAGATAAAAGGAAGCAGACATAGATATTCACAATCCATAAAAAAGCAAAGGCAAAGAAAAAAACTATTGCCTGACACTGCCTGACACTACACCTTCCAACTGCATCAGAGAAACCACAAACATGCTCCTTGCCTCCTCTTCTTGGTTTAACAAAGGGTGCCTTCTTTGTCCTTGTGGTGTTTTTTAACACACACACACACATGCACACACGCACAGACACACATCTGGCCTTCTCCACATGGCAAAGGCAGTGAAGGTCCTCTAGAAAATACTTGGGGAAGTGCACAACATTAGCCAGTTCATGTTTCAGTGCATGGAATAAATGATCAAACTTTCTTGAAAACTAAGGAAACATTAAATGATAAAAGTATGTTATGTGCACATAGGAATCTACCAAAGTAAAACCCATTGATCTGTAGGAGCAATACAACATGGGTGAAGAAAACAGAAAGTGACTACTGGTTTGAAAGGAATGCCTTCTATTCTTAGATTAAAATAAAGAAATGAGCAATGCTGACTCAGTATTGGACTGTGAATGGGAGGGACTGAGTGGAACCCACAGAATAATTATAAAGGATGGTTCACTTTGCCATCTGTTTTAAAACCTTAGTCTTAGACAAATCCTGTGATTGAATGCCTTTCTCCATTCAGTTGAGGAGGAAAGTAGCTATCAATTATTTCAGTGGTGTCCCCAGGGTCAGGTTCACACAGCCAGAATGCCTAAGGTGGCCGGGAGCTGCCTCACGTAGCCGGGCCAGCTGGAGAGCTGTGGGGTGCAGGGAGGCTCAGGCTGCAGCCTGGCTGCACTCAATCTGGGAAATCCTTGTAAATCTTGCCTCCCAGAAGCAGGCCTGCTGACCAGGGGCTTCAAACCTGCCCTGCATAGCAAACCACAAAGGGGCCTTGCACATAGCACCAAGTAACCCCTGGCCAAGGCCAAGATGACAGGATCTGAGTCTTTCCTTTCCCAGTGGCTGGAGTGAATTTATATTACCAACCATGCACAGGTCAATCCTCAGCCTTCAGTTTCTGAGAATCTTCTAGGTATTTTTTGAGCATCTACTATGGCTGGCACTGGGCCTCCTTCACCCAGGGCACAGAATCAATCACTTTTGCATCCTCCCCATGGCTTTCCAAGGAAAGAACTTCATGGACATGGATCCACTTGCTACAGCACTTGGCAAGAAGCACAGAAGGAAGATAGGCTGGAAAATGCTAGCCTGTGGTTTGCTCTCAACTCTCTGGGCCACTTCTCTGCATTCTCTGTCTCCTCCCAACCCATAGCAGCAATTGCCCAGTTCTCAGAAAACTAAAGATGGAGCACCCTATGTTTGCAGATTCAAAAATCCATAGGTGGCACCAGAGCCTGGCCCTGTTCTGGGTTGGCCTGAACCCTGAGCTCCAGAGATTTGGCTGCCCAGGCCTATGGCCTCTGGATGTTCAGTGTGGAGTTACAGGTACACAGGAAAGGGTGGACTGGAAAAAAAAGCTGAGAGCTCTAAAAATATGTGAAAATGCAAAGTACTGGGTACCAGCCCTGTGGATCCTGACTCAGTGGTTCTGGAGAAGGTTTCCCAGAGCCCAGAGTGTCAAACACAGAGCTCCCCTTATTAAAATAAGATACACCTATTTGAATGGCCAAAATCCACAATGCTGACAACAGAAAACGCAGGCAAGCATATAGAGAAATGGGGCCTGTCATTCATGGCTGGAGGGGATGCAAAATGGCAGAGGTTATTTGCAATCCAGTTCAGTTTCTTACAAAACTAAATCTAATTTTAATATGTAATCCAGTGATTACACTTCTTGCTATTTACCCAAAGGAGGTGAACAATTATTTTCACATCAAAACCTACACATGGAAGTTTTTTAAGAGCTTTATTCATAATTCCCAAAACTTGCAAGCAACCAAGATGTCCTTCAGTTAATGAATGCATAAATAAAACTGTAATGCATTCAGGCATGGACTATTATTCAGCAGTGAAAAGAAATGACACACTGAGACATAGAACACATGTAGGAATCTTAAATCCATGTTACTCCATGAAAGAAGCCAATATGAAGGGGCTATAGACTATACAATTTCAACTATATAGTATTCTGAAAAAGACACAACTATAGAGACAGTAAAAATATCCATGGTTGTCAGAGATAAGGGAGGAGAGAGGGATGAAGAAGCTGAGCACAGAGGGATTGTAGGGCAATGAAACTATTCTATAGGACACAGTAATGACAGATACACACACATTAATGCAAACCCATGGAGTGAACCACCCCCAGGGTGAACCATAGCATAAAATATGAAGATTGGGTGAAGACATCACAGGTCCAGCCATCGTAACAAACCTACCTTAGTGCGGATTCTGTGTATACAAGAAACCACTATACCTTCCTTTTAATTTTGCTGTGAACCTAAAGCTGCTTGATAGGTAATCTATTTTAAAAACAACAAAGAACTATAACAACAAATATAGAGGGTATTACAGTTGGTCAAGGTAAATATTCTACCACAAAGTCCCAGCATACGTATTTCTATATATATTAGTTAGAGAGAAATTGTGCCTCCTACTTTGCTTCATGGTCAAAAAACTTTAAAAGTCACCCCAGGGGTCTCTGAGATTGTTTGTTCAATTATTATAAATTGTTACTACAATTTAGTAATACAAGTTAGTAACACTATAAATTGTTAGTACAAGTTTGTTATTACAATATAGTTTACAAAGAGGATAAAACCTGTATGTCTTATGTGTCTGTGACAGCCATCTGAGATGGTAGATGGGGCAAAGGGTCAGAAGGACAATGCCTCACTGACTCCACGGAAAACAGTGCCCATTCAACCACCCCCAGAATCACCAGTAGCCAGCTGAACTCGAGGAATAGGTCTCAGATCTAATTTGTAAACCTCTTTATGAAACCTTTTACCCTCTTCAGATGTTCATACTCCTGGTTTATTAAATCAATCAGAAGTATCTGGTACTTAATTATTTTTTCATCTAATGAAACATTAAAAACAGAAATAGATAGTACTGAGTGCTACAGAAAAGGGGCTTCATAAGCTCATGCTGGTGCTCTGTGAATGGCTGACTGAATGCTTAGGTGAATGCATGCAGGTATGGATGGGTGGATCGGTCAGTCAGTCGGTCAGTCAGTCAGTCAGCTAGTCAAGAGGAGAACAGACACTGGCAATCATCGTTTGAGGCCAGTGGCCAATCCCTGCTCCATAGACACGCTGTTTGGCAGGATGCATCTCTACCTTGCTGTGCCCCCTGCCTGCTATGGTCCAATACACACAAATAGCTGCTGCCCTAATGCAAACTAGGGAGCTGCTTCTACGAAGGCAGGACAGTGAGTCACCCAGCCAGCCCTGTCACACACACATAATCCTTCTGCATGGAGACTGAACCTGTAGACTTGAGAGCGAGTCTCACTCACCGTGCCTGAGGCGTTCACATTCAGGGGGATGCTGGAGATAAGAAAGAACCATGAAGAGGGGTTAAGAAGGAAACAGGTTTATTGAGCACCTGCCCGTGCCAGGCATGACATACACACATACAGCCAAGGCAAATATTTCAGAGTCAGAATCTGGACAGAGTCCTCAGCTCTGGTCAGTGGCCCAGCCAACAGCCCACCATCAGGAAACCCAGCGTGGTCACTGAATGCCTTTATTTGACAATTAATATGATAAAAACCAACAAGGGGAATTCAAAGGCAACCTGACCCATGGTTTAAGAGCAATTTCACACTCCAGCTGCTGCTTCAACCCTTGTTTCTCATCTTTGGCTCAGACATAAGATCCCACCAAGCCACTGCCAACCCTCATAACATTATCCCCCTTCCACAGCTGCAAACACTGAGGACACCAGCTGTCCACCAAGAGCACACTCTGCTCTCTGCTGTGCTTTCCCTGCACAGGCAGAACAGTCTTCATGTCGGCATCCCTTCTTCTTCCTGCTTTCCTGGGAAGCGGTGATTTAGGGATTTTTTTCCCCAGGTGACCCCTGGGCATAGCTCAGAGCAGAAGCTTCTTGGCTCCATTTCATAAAGTTTGATTTTCAGGAAAGAGGTAAATTCTGCAAGTGTCTGATCAGGGTTTCATAGCACCAAGAGTCTCTAAAATTAGCAGCTGTGCTTCAGATGGTACCATCAGGGGAGTCAGAAACACCTTTTGCCCCAATGTCTCACAGTCCCAGTTTGAGAGGAGAGGAAAAACACAAGCATTGCCATATGAAACAATAATATAATAATTAAGAGTAATAACATTAATAATAATCTGATAATCTGCAGCATCTGTTGGTATTAATAATTCTGAGGTCTCTGAAGAAACTGATATAAAAAAGAAGAAAGGTAAGAAGGAAGGAAAAAAGAAAAGAAGGGAGGGAAGAAGGGAGGGAGAGAAGAAGGAAGGAGAGAACGGAGGGAAGAGCAATCAAAGAAAGGGAGGAGCTGAAATGTTTCAAGGCCTCTGGCGTCCCATTGAGCTATGGTTTCAAATTTCAGAAATCCATCGCAGTCTTCTGATCTTCTACAATCTTCTATGGGCCCTTCACATTACCCGGTCGGGCAGCAAGGCTGGCGAAGTAGGCACACTGGGAGGGGTCACACAGGCCAGGAGGACCAGGTGGGCCTGGAGGGCCAGGGTGTCCAGCAGGTCCTGTCTCCCCTTGAGGGCCAGGACTCCCTGGGAGTCCATCTTTAGCATAGCCAGGCTCCCCGGGTTGACCTGGCCCAAGGAGCAAAAGAAAAAGAAGGTATTCAGCTGATGTCCAGCGAACAAGCCCTGCTCTCCCTGCTCCCACTCAGCATGAGCTCAGGAGTTGCACTGTCCTCAGCAAGAACATGTCCTGGCCTGGGAGTGCTAGTCTGGGTGATAATGGTCCATTTGAGCTAAAGGTACCAGCAACACTTGACATGCAATGGCCATGGTCACTGTCTGCATGAGGATAGTGGTCCAGACACCACTAGACAGAAAGAAGGAGGGAGAGATTAAGCTAGGAAGGGGATGTGTTTTCCACTGGAAAAAGATGAGTCAGGTCTTTTGTGTCCTTACATGGCTCTAAGAGATGCCTCTAAATTTTCAGTGGAACACCAAGCTCTGATCATCCAAATTCAGCCCAATGCACATATCCTCAGAGTCGTCTGCTGACTTTTTATTATACAATGTGAAATGGCCCAATTCTACTGTATGATCTCAGCTTTATGTGCATGTTAAATTTCAACTACATTAACCTGCTCTTCAGAATCATGTAAAGACAGCAACCACGCTGTAAGAAACTAACAGTCTATTTAGACCAAAACTTCTGTCCCACTACATAGCCTGTATCATAATTTCATAGGTAAGAAATCTGTCAATCTTTTGGGAAGCCTTTGGCAACTGGGAAGCTCAGTGGTAGGCATCATGACCAGCTCTGGAAGTCGTATTCCTTAAGTTTTGTTAGAATACTCCTTATAAAAGAAACAAAAGGTAAGCCAGAAAACTGGTAAAAAAAAAAGTTTTTAGATTTTTATGAATTCTGTTAATGCTTCGATAACGTTTATTTAATCTATAATCCAATATAGACCAAGTTTTCAGGCCAGCAGTGTTAGTTTTGCACCCACTGGAAACCACTGCCTTGTGCCAGTTATTCCAGCTCGCTCTGAGCTAACTTGCCAGAAATGGATATAAATCTCCTGCCTCTAAGTGTCTTCTGTTTTACTTCATCTTTATTTAAAATTGACCTACCCAAAAGATTCTTCCTAGTGTAACTTACTTGACATTAGTTAAGCTATAAAATTATTCATTAATATATCTAATTATCTTCTGTAATAAAAATAATGGCGCACGTCCACTGTAGAGAATTTGGAAATTATAAAATAGTACATAGTAAAATTAAAAATTATCTAGACTAGAGGCCCAGTATTCAGAAAACATGGATATGAGAAAAGGAAAACTAGAATTAAATAGAAATGTAGAAGCCTCAGTGAAGCGGTTTGCTAAAAATACAAATGTCTTGTCTTCTCCCGCCACTTCTCAATCTGCAGTGTGATTACTGCTGTGTTCTGGAATCATCCAGCATCGCCACTGGGCAGAGTGACCACGCTGTCCTCATTTTCCCAGATATATCCCAGTTTCACAACTGAACGTCCCAGGCCCAGGAAGCCTGTAAGCTCAGAACGGTTAACTATCTGCCACATGGCCAGTGATTCCTAAGCATAATCAGAGAAATCCTGATAGCGTATCAATGAAAGTTTAGTGAAGAAAGAGGTTCTACTTTCAGTGAGATTGGACAATGTGGAGTTAAACAAGGTGGACACTCTTCCCCCGTAAGGCTCCCAGGCACTATTTATAAGAAGTTAATGTGCACCAGGAATGAAAAAGGCAGATTTGTCTCCACCATTGTCTGGCTTTATTTAGCCCTCTGTCTGCTTTGGTTGTTTTGTTTTGTTTTGTTTCCCCAAGGACATTTCTCTTTGGTCATTGTTTGTTTGTTTTGAAGCAGGGTTTCACTATGCAGTCCAGACTGGCCTCAAACTCACAGTGATCCTCCTGCCTCAGCCTCCCAAGTGCTGGAAATACAGGCATGTGCCACCATGTCCAGTGTTCATTCAGTACTATTATTATTATTATTTTGAATTGGCACAATAATTGTGTCTATTTATGGGATATAATACATGATTTCAGGACATTTATATGATCAAATGTGGGCAATTAGCATAAGTGTCACCTTAGACCTGTATCATTACTTTGTGCTGGGAATATCAAAATCCTTTTTCCTAGCTGTTTTGAAATACTCAATAAATTATTAGGATTTTTGATTCCTGGTATACAACTCAAGAACTTTAGAAATATTTTTAAAAAGGCAAGTGGTCTGTGTTCTCATCCGTTGACCCTGGTCCTATCTCCCAACCCAGCCTGAGCCCCACATGGCTCAGACAGGAGCACAGCTACACATCCCTCTCCCTACCTTAGATGCCCACCCTCTCCGAGACTCCAGACCCTTTGTACCTGGGATTCCAGGGGGTCCTATCTCTCCTCGGAGGCCAACTCCAGGTACACCTGGATCACCTTTGGCTCCTCGCTCGCCTGTTGAGAAAAACAGATGTCTTCAGTGATAAAGATGCCCAGTGAGGACAGGCACAGGGAGCTTCAGCCTGTGAGCTGTGACCTCACATCCCTGGAGCTGAACCACCCACACCTGCTCATACACACCTCCACATCACCCCCCCGTTCCTGTGCCCATGCACACACTTGTACACACACGCGCACACACACATATACACACACACACATTCAAAAGTATTCACGCTCATAATATACACATGTAAACACCAAGATAAACAGAAACTACCTCCTAAACACAGACGCACACACATTTTACAAACAAACCTTCACTCAAGCACACATCTAGCTAATTCCATACAGACCTATACACATCTCTCATATGCACAGACTCACCAAACACAAGCCACCAAATGTACACACCCGCACACTCCAATGCACACGCAGAAGCCATCCTCACTGGTGTCCATACTTCCCTGAGACCTCAAAGCATTTAATTTCATTTTCAAGGGAGAAGAGCTGGGCAATTAATCCAGAAATCCAATATGCTAGGTGATGAGGGTGCATGTGATAATAAGTATGGTACAGTTTTACTTTAAAGAACCTTAAAGTCCAATGACACAGATGACAGATGAAGCGGAAGCAAAGACAGAAGGTGGTAAGTACCATTATATTTATTTATTTATTTATTTATTTATTTTTGGTTTTTCTCCGGTACCGGGAACCGAACTCACGACCTTGCACTTG